ATATTTTTCAATGATGTTATCTTTCAAATTTCCTTTTATACTCATTTCTTGAAGGATATTATGTCAAAAAAGAGAAAAATTGAAGATCATGAAATGATAGCACTCACAGAGGAATGTTCGGCACATGTGCAGAATAAACTTCCACCAAAGCTCGAGGATTCAGAAAGTTTTATTATACCTTGCACCATTGGACATCTTAATTTCTCTAATGTTTTGTGTGATTTAGGTGCAAGCATATTCATAAATGGCACATTTCATTGCCCAAAGGCTTGATTTGAAGGAGATAAAAGATACAAATGTTACTTTTCAATTGGCAGATAAGCCCATAGAGCATCCGGTTGGCATGATAGAGAATGTCCTTATAAAGGTGAAATCATTCATTATACCAGTTGGCTTTATTGTGTTAGATATGAAGGAAGATATGCATATGCCTGTCATTTCATGAAGACCTTTCTTAGTCATGGCTAGTACATTAATTGATGTCCAATAAGACAAATTGGTATTTAGGGTCAATGGTGAAGAACTAGTGTTTAATCTTAATGATAATAAAAATCTTGACTTGTGGCACGGTAAGGCTTTTAAACCTAAAGAAGTTAATGTAGTACAAGAGTTGTATAAAGATAACTTTCCTATTGATGCTCTTACTATAACATGTCTAATGTGAGAAATAAAGAAAAAGAGGTCTTTATTGATCATTTTCAAGAAATTCCTAAAATCCAAGAAAACAAAGGCAAGAAATCAAGTAGATTTTGGAATTATTTTAAATGTCTTTCAAGAAATTCTCATGTACATTGTGATAATGCTAATGATTCCTTGTTTGATGATGAGCATGAGTTGGAGATAGGGCAAACTCAAACCACGGTGGATGGTAAGAGAAATTTTAGCCCTTGGGAAGGAACTAGTTCCTTTTCTCCTCCAAAGTGAATTTCAAGAAGAAACACTTTTGACTCGGGTCAACGACTATAAACAAAAGTACTTGTTTGGAGGCCACCCAATGTTCGTTGAAGTTTATATTAATTTGGTGTGATTTGATGTTTAACATGTGTGTTTTAGTGTGTTTGTTATGTTTTTATACTCGGATTCAAGAATTGCTGTCAAATGTGTAAAATGAGGTGTCAAGGGAGCTCAAATGATCAACTTTTACAACTCTCAAGTTTTGATTCATGTGTTTTTTATGCTAGATTTTGTGTTAAAATAGTGTATTTGATCAAGTTACATGTGTTTGGCATGGTGCATTGTTCATTACAACAATGGGTTTTGATTTGAGGTATGAGGCACAACTAATAGAATAGTAACTTGTTGGAGCAGAATTGTAAAAAACAGCAAATAAGCAGAAACGCAACTCAAAACGTGGACTAGCCTGCATTTCCACTCCGTGTTTCTTCACAAATTCATTCTTCCAAGGAGAAAAACATGGAAACTTTTCTTAACTCTTCTATTTTTCTTCTTTTTATGGCCACAACACATGCACTTCACTTACTTCTTCAAATTTCTTGATCAACCAACGCTTGTACTGACCATTAACATCATTTGAAGTAGTTTTTACATTCAAATGTATCATTAAACATATCATTGGTGTGTTTAATCTTCATGAATCTTTGTTGAGTTCAATTGCATAAAGTTCGTGTTAAGACTCATTTGAGTGTGAAAATAGTTCAATCACATTTCATTTCACTCACATAACTACTTTGAAGTGAATTTCTTTAACTTTGCATAGTAGTTTACATTTTCACCTTTTCGGCTCCATTCTCATTCATGCATAAGCTTGCATGATGAACATATAAAGGTGCTTTAGGATGCATAAACATATTAAATGACTCCATATGAATTGTGTGAGAACCCTAAAAATTTTCACCTTCGCTCAGCATTTTGTTTATTCTCACTATCCTTTTTAAAATGAAAAGAATTGGCTATCCATTTCTAAGGCGGGTTTTCTTCGCATACATGTGAATGTGTGATAGTGTGTATCAAGTGTAATTGTGTGAGATATATGTAAATATGTGTACGTGTTGGAGGTATGGATGAGCGTGGCAATTGAACTAGGAAAAGAAGGAAACAAATTTTGCGAAAAAATGAAGGGCCAAATCCGGCCAGTTCTTGGCCGGATTGTTGTTGGTTTTGGAAAAAAAATTGATTTCTTCTCTGCCCTGTATCAGGCCGGATTGTGACGTGTCACAGTCGGTCACCAGCTTTGACCGGTTGTTTCCTTCATTCTTATCCTACTTTTGGCCCAAAATATCTTCATTTTGCTCCTTGCTTGACCGGCTAGCTTGAGAGAAAAACCAAGAAAGCTCTTCATTTTCTATCTTCAATTTTTGCTCAAATCTTGAGATTCCACCGTTGGATTTTCAAACTACTCCCTACAAGTGGGAACTAAGGAGGTTTAAAGCTTTTGACGGAGTGTTTTTTGAAAGGGAAGCTATCTTCCTTGAGTTATAAGGTGAGTTGCTAAGAAAGTTTCCTTGTTGTTTTAATAATGGTATATTAGGGCTTCGTATTGGTTAAATATGTTGTTTTGTGGAAGATTTCATGGGTTGAAGGAATTTATGGTGAATTTCTAATTTATTAGTGGATTTTCTGATTTTATATGATAATCATGGGTTGGCCTTGGATTGATGGATTGAGATGGTGTTAAATGGAGCTTTTGTGCGTTAATTACGATTGCTTGCGGAAAATTTCTGGTTTGTGCGGAAATTCCAGTTTTAGGGTTTTGATTTGGGGTTTTCTTATGGTTGGTTCTTAAGCTCCTAATTGGCCTTGATTGAAGGGTATTGTGGTCCTAATTGGATGTATTACTGCTTATGAACCGTATGTGTGATCGTGATTAATTGCTATGAGAATTGGTTGTTGATTGTAGGGTGAAAGTGAAGAATTTAGGGGGAAATGCTACCCGTTTATTTTCTTGTAATTTGAGTGAGTTAAAGTGGATTTGGAAATGTGATGTTTGCGTCAAGTAGAACGTACTTCATTGAAAACTACGTCGATTCTCTCGAAGGGTGTTCGAGGAGCTACTTTTCTATTTGAACTTATATATTTTCGCTTGGCGAATATCGTGACCGTTTTACCATTTTAACACATAATACCTCTTTAGTTTGACACTTCAAATGTTTACTTATTTCTTGTCAAAATAAAGAGGTATGAATTAGGATTTTCTCGGCCACGAGAAAACTACTTTCAAGTGAGGTTTTAAGTGTGAAATTAAGGTATTTTATCCTCCTTTTCACATGATTTTCATCAATACATTTGTTATATAATATCTACTTGCATATATGTTGAGTTTGAGCTACATAAACGATTCAGAAAAATAGTTCTTTAACCTATCTAGTTGGATTCTAATTTATCTTCGGTTCAGGTGTTTTTCGTTGGAATTTTCTATAACCCTTTTCGTTTAGTTTTGTGTATGATTTGGTAAACCCTTAATTCTTTCCGTCCTCAGATCCAAATGACTCTTTTCACTTTTAAAGTCATCTTTATATATTTTACTCATCGTTGGTCGGTTTTTCTTCGATTTCACCTAATTGTTTTTGCTAGATGAACTGTAATATTTTCTCTTGCTTAATCTTAGGTTTCATTGGTGACTGAGGTTATTATCCGGAGGGATATTTTGGACGTTATTTTGCGTAAATAGGTGAGTGTTCCTTGTTTGTTATATTTTCATTGACTATGTGGCTTGTTCTTGATTATATGACTTGTTATGAATGAATGATAACATGTTAAATGCTTTCAATGATTGCTTCAAATGAGTTTTCTAGGCGAGTGTGTACTTTATCGCACTCGACCTACATGAATGTGAAATTTTCAATGATTGAATGATTATATGTGCATGAATGTAAGCCTCTTGGTTGAACTGGACCCTGCCCTTCGTTACTGATCGAATCGAGTCAGAAGCGGACTCGATCGGGCGATTTAGTGACCATGGGTGAACGTTTGGTATACTCGAGTATTACCTTGTACTCTGGTGGAGCCTGGCCAACGTCTAGGAGGGGGTGAAATAAAATGAATGAACGAATGCCAATGTAAATGAAGGGTTTTACTTATCAAATGCATTTTCAAACGATTGGAGGAATAAGGAAATGAAAGGAGAATGAATGAATGAATGGCTCTATGTGAGCACGTATCCTTTTAATGAATGTTATAATTGCTTTATATTGTCATGTTTCTTGAATTACTTGCTATCTATGGTTAATGTATTGAACTCATTGTTTGTTTATGTATTTAGAACCTCACTGAGCTTTTAGCCCATTCCGTTAGTTCTGTTTTCCTTAACAGGGGATGCGAGCAAGGACGAGAACTCTGTATAGACTAGCTTAGTCTAGTTCATTGGATTCTTTTGTAATGGTTCTCGTCCTAGCAATTGGCAAGGGTTGGATGTATGAGGAATTGGGAACCTTTGTATATTTGAATTTTATAATTCCTTTGGAGATAGGAATGTATATAAGTTTATGTTTTAAGTTTGGGATCGTTATTCGCTTGTTTTGTAAATTTTATCTTCAATTCCTTGAGGTGAATGACTGAGTCCCTGCGAGAGCGAGGCACGCGGTCCGCCGAACTCTTTGGTTCGTCTTAGGGTAAGGTGGGGCTGTCACAAATTGTTTTTAAGGTTCAAAGCATATGTTTGCATATTAATTGCATGGTGAATCGTTAGGTCAATATAATTCATTATTTGATCATATAAGTATGATACATTTCTTGGACCTTAGTAGTAAAATTTGTTGCTTTTATTTTCAACTTTTTGCAAACTAGTGGTTATTAAATGGAACTTTTGCATTCTTTGACTTTCAATTATGTAGGTAATGGTTGAAATTCAAGCATGAAAAGGTCATAAAAGGTTTCAAAACAAGAGGCTAAGTCACCATAGAGGGAGTATTTCTTTTACTCTTATTTTTTCTTTTCACACATTGAGAACAATGTACACATTAAGTGTAGGGAGAAGGGAGATTTTTTTTTTTAATCATAAAAGAAAATGCTTCAATGGATGAAAATCTAGAATAGTTTTTGCATCATAGTTATCCGATCAGTAACTGACATCATAAAAGTAAATCAGAATCATCTTTAAATAACATAAAAGTATACCAAAAAACTTCCATCTGGTTGATCCTAATTCTTTTCTTCTATGAGAATAAGCTTGAGAAACACCTAATCAAACAAGCTGAATCCCATATCATCATCACTCTCTTCCTTGGGCTCCTCCTTTTTCTCTTCTGCGGCGGGAGCAGTGGCGGCAAGGGCAGCACCACCAGCGTCGGCAGGAGTGGCAACGGCGGCAGGGGCAGCACCACTACCGCCACAGCCAATGTTGACAATAAGATCTTCGATGTTCCTCTTCTTGCAGAGCTTGGCAAAGAGACTAGGCCAGTAGGATTCCACGGTTAAATTCGCAACCTTCACCAATGTAGTGAAGGAAGGTTTATTACCTTTTTAACTGTGGTGATTTGAGAAAAAATGGTTCAAAATTTTCAGAAGTTTTGCAATTTTCAAAGAAGTTCCATGACTGCTAGTAGTCAAATTCTCCTTTGGAGTTAAATTTATGCGTCTAAGAATCTCATTTCTTATTTGACTTTAAAGTAACTCTTATGTGATTACGATTTTTGTTATGAAGAAAGTATATATTGTAAAGTAGAAGTAATTAAGCCTTGAATTTTGCATGGTTGATAAGTTTCCTATCTTTATCGAATTTCATAATTTGAGTGATGAATATAGTCAATATTTGCATTACTTTTTCTATGACCATTCTATATGTTGAAGTTCCTAGAAAAAAGAAATAAAGGAAAGAAGAAAAAAAACAAAAATATTATGTGCGGTAGTCGAATATTATGTATGAGAAAATATTTCTTGTTTGATTTCGAAATAGCTCTTATGTGACTAGAATTTTTTTCTATGAAAAAGTACATCTTGTAAAGTGGAAGTAATTTGTCTTGAATTTTGCATGTTTGATAAGTTTCCTATCTCGATTGAATTTCACAATTTGAATAATGAATATGGTCAATATTTAATCATTCTATATGAGGGAAGTTCCTACAAAAATGAAAAAAACAAAGAAAGAAGAGGAAAACAAAAATATTTTGTGTGGTAGTCAAATATTATGTGTGGTAGAAAAATATTTTGAGTGGTAGTCAAATTCTCGCTTTGGAGTAAAATTTATGTGTTTTAAGAATCTCATTTCTTTTTTTAATTCGAAATAGCTCTTGTGTGATTAGAAATTTTGTTATGAAAAAAGTATATCTTGTAAAGTGAAAGTAATCATGCTCTGAATTTTGGTTGCTTGATAAGTTTCCTCTCATGATTTCACAATTTGAGTGATGACAATGGTCAATATTTGCATTACTTTTTATATGATCATTCTATATGAGGGAAGTTCCTAGAAAACAGAAAAAAAAGGGAAAGAAGACAAAAACAACAAAAAAGAAAAAAAAAGAGAAAAAATAATAAAAGTTCTACTTCAATGATTCTTAAAGTTTAGTAATCGGGAGTTTTCATCTATAAATGTCGACTTTCATGTAAAATGGCTTTTGAATTATGAATATGTAAAGCAGCTCTAATGAGTGATGAAATTGAGTAGCATGAAATTGAGTAGGTCAAGGTCTTCATCTACCAATGTTAATTTTCATGTCAAAAGACATTTTCACTACTTGAGGAAGTTATTTGTTGCACATTGAATAAATCCCTCTTTTGAGTAAATAAAGATGATCATGGAACTTGTATGCCTTAATTTGGCCATATGAGTTGCTTAAAGGTGAAATTGAGTTGAGGGGAGGAAATAAGTTGAACAACTCTTAATTTTTGATATAATTTTCTCTTCTTTACTTGGTATGATGAGTGTATGTGGTGAAATGAATGGTTGTATAATGATGGTTTACCTTATCATTGAGGAAATGAATTTGAAAAACACATGAGTACAAAGGGATATATTTGAACTATTGCTTTGGTTTGTAATTCTTAATTGTTTGAGCACAAATAATAGTTCAAGTGTGGGGGAGTTTGATTAACATTTATTTTACCTATTTTTAGTTAGTTTTTGTGACAGCCCCACCTCCCCCTAAGGCGAACCAAAGGGTTCGACGGGCCGCCTGCCCAACTCTCACCGGGACTCAGTCGTTCACTCACACAAATCAGAAATAGAACCACAAGAAAAAGCAAAACGAGGATCCAAAACTTAAAACAAAGCTTATATACATTGCTATCTCAGAAAGAAGTACAACCGTCGAGAATACAAAAGTTCTCAAGTCACCATACAACCAGCCCGTGCCAAACACTAGGGCGAGAACCAAAACAAAACCAAAACTAGACCCAGCCAGTCGATATAGAGCTCTCGCCCTTGCTCGCCTTCCCCTGTTAAGGAAAACAAAACTAAAGGGATGAGCTAAAAGCTCAGTGAGGTTCCGAACATAGAATCAAGCCATAAATCAAACAATAAGTCAAGAAACATTTACAACATGTACAATAAACCATACATGAAAAGAATACGTTCGTTCGTTCATTCGTTCGTTCTCCTGTCATTCCCCTTTCCTTCATTCATTTGAAAATGCATTTTTCGTTTATACATAAAACCCTCGTTCGTTCGTTCGTTCGTTCATTTCATTCACCCTCTCTTGGACATTGGCCAGGCTCCACCAACCTCCACCAACCTACAAGGTAATACTCGAGTATACCAAACGTTCACCCAGGTCACCATATCGCCTGATCGAGTCCGCTTCTGGCTCGAGTCGATCGGTAACAAGGGGCAGTGGCCAGTTCAGCCAAAAGGCTTACATTCATGCACAAGTAGCATTTCAATCGTTCAATCATTGAAAAGTTCACAATCATTTAGGCTGAGTGCGATAAAGTACACACTCGCCTAGAAAACTCGTTTTGGCTAATCATTGAAAGCGTTTAACATGTTATCAGTCATATATACAAGCCATATAATCAAGTAACATAACAAACAAGGAACACTCACCGAATTATGCTAAATAACGTCCAAAATGTCCTATCGGATTTTACCCTCGGTCACCAAGAAAACCTATGATTCAACGAGAAAGAATATTACAATTCATCTAGCAAAACAAGTAAGTGGAATCAAAGAATTCGACTAGTTACGAGTAAAACGGATAAAAGTGACTTTAAAGTGAAAAACAACCATGTGGATCTGTGGACGGAAATAACTAGGGTGTCATAAACCATACTCAAAGGGTTATAACAGTTCCAATGGAAAACACTTGAATCAAAGTCAAGTCGGAATCCAACTAGATAGGCTCAGAAATATTATTTTCGGAATCGTGTATGTGGTTCAAAATCGATATACATTCAAGTAGGTATTATGGCCTACACGTCTTGATTGAGAAAACCTTAGGTCATACCTCGATATTTTGGTATGAAGTAGTAAATAAACATTTGAAGGTTCAAATGGAAAAGGTATCATATTTTAAGATGAAAAACGGGCATAGTATTTGTCAAACGAAAAATAGACAAGTTGAAATAGAAACTTAGCCCTCGAGCGAAAATTTGGGCAGCACGCCCTTTGTATTTTCCTATTTCCAGCCATTTATGGCTTCATTATTTTTCTCATCCAGTCCCAAAGTCACACACAAAATAAATTCATTCAATAGCCGTTCAGTAAGCTCCAAGTAGTACAAGTACAATTCTAGCAAGGGAAAAGTCCGGAAATGAAAGTTAAGCTCTAACCATAAAAATAGTTTTTGACATCATTTTGCGGTTTTGGCACCATTGGCACTACGATTATCGGATGGAGGTGCAAGATACACTGTTTCGAAGCTAAGAGATAGGGATACAATGTTGAAGAAGGCCACTCAGTCCAGTTTGTAGTGCAACTAGGTCAAAATTGAAATATAAGAAACCAGAATCTCACAAACAGGTTGGCTAACCACACAATTGTTAAACAGCAACAACTCAGGCTACCGAAGTCCGATTGAAGTGTATCTTATGGTGTTTCGAAGCTAAAACACAACCCTACATTTCTTATAAATACCTCCAAGGCCAAATCATGCATTTTCATGATCAAAAATGGAAAACTACATGAAAACAGAATTCTGGGCGCGAAACAGGTTTCATGGACAGTCAAGGGTATTTCGGTCATTTCACATGATACAGTGGTCGGATCAAGCTGAAATTTTTCAGGAAACTATTTTATACTATTGGCTACAACTTTCATGTTTTGGCCAAAATCTAATTCGGTAAGGATCATGGTGAAAAGTCACGGTCAGATTGGGTGATATGACAACCCTGTTCGCTGAACTCCTACCTAGACCAGTCTGGGTATTTCCATCTTATCTCAGGCTACCGAGCTCAGATTGGGTTGAAAATTTACAGACAACTAGAAAACATCATTCTCTACAACTTTCAGGTTTTGTGCTAAGGCCAATTCGGCCTCTAACCCGGTCGAACAGAAACGGGCAGAACAGGGGTTAATGAAACCCTAATCTGGAATTCATGCATTCAAGTGCTAATCTTCCACAAAACAACATCTAAAACAACTAAAAACCACTAATAAGCAATTAATTGAAGTAAAGAGGATGTTCTTGGCAAAATACCTTAAAACCACAAGAAAGGTAGGAGTTTAGGCTTTGTCCTCCAAAAATCCTTCCATTCAAGTTCCTAATCTTCTTTAACTAGCACTTTGTATGGAGTAATTTGAGTTTCCAATGGTTGGAACTTAAGATTTGGCTTGGATTTGAAGTTGAAGATGAAACTTTTCCTCTCTTTCTTTCTCTCAAGTATTCAGCCAAGAAGGAAGAAGAAATGGGATATTTTTGGTCAAATTTTGGTATTTAGTAAAGGTAAGAAAGTTAGTCAAAGTCCAACTCCAATCGGGTCGCGACACCTAGCACCTTTTAATTGTAACACTTATCCTTTTGTCTCTCCATCATTAACCATCTAAGGAACCTCTAATTATCTCTTAACATCTAGCAAATTAATCACAGTACACAAAACTTAACCTAATTGGCCCAATTTTACCGAACTTACTGCACTAGCGGGTCCCACGCCCGATATACGCTCCAAAAATCTCATGAACTAAATTATACTAGACAAATAATTTAAAAACCCTATTTGGTCATAAAAATTATCTAGAAAATTTTCCAAATAAAGAAAAGGCATAAGAAGCGTGCAAATAAATAAAATAAAGCCTAGAAAATAAGAACTTTGACGGGTTCTCACAGTTTTAGAGTATGTTTTTGGTGTACTTTTAAGTTAAAATGGAAGAATTTAGTTCCTTTAAAATTACTCTTCATACAAATAGCGTTTCTTAACCAAAACATGCAAAAGTGTGGATTAATGTGCAAATTTGTGATATTATTATAGGTTTTGGCATTTTATGAATTGATTCAAATCAAGAAGAGTTTGGCAACTTTGACACACTTTGATATTTCGGCTATATCTTGAGTTACAAGTATCAAATTGAGGAGATTTTTTATCCATTTTGAAGCTAAAACACTGCTCAACATTTCTTATGCAGACATTGAAATTCAGAATATAGTTGGGCATATTTATTGTCAAAAGCTAAAATAAAGGATTTATTAGTTAGGGGTATTTTGGCCATTTATTAGTTTACAGACATCCAAATAAGATAATTCTTGATGAATTGAAAAGATAATTCAAAGAGTTACAACTTTCATGTTTTGTACAAGAACTAATTTGGCTTCCATTATCGAGAAATTTGCAACTTAAATTGATGCAAAAATAGAACAATTTCCATAATTATAAGAAATATGCTAGACTTGCACCAAGAAGCAACGGGGACCATGAAAAGCAACCTACCCCTTGTTTCTACCCCACATTTCCTTGAAAATGATAGGTTTTGACTGTTTGCAACTCGGATCTCATTTCCAGCCAGAGCAAAATATCAGTTGCTGCTATACAAAATGGATTTGAAAAATTGAAGAACAACTTTATGATAATATTATGAGCACATTTCTCCTTCAAAAACATCTATAAATACCCCCTTGTATTTCATTGATTGAAGCATATTGTAGTATAGAGAAGTAGAGGTAGAAGTAGTTTTAGCTCTAGTTTCATATTGTGGGTTTCTTTGTTAGTTTAAGAGTTTCGAGAGAAAAGTGTGAGCACTCTTGCACCAAGCACATTTGAGAGATCAACTTGTGAAGAAATTAAGAATTCAACATTCAAGACATTGAATAAGAATTTTTTTTCCTAAATTTTGTCTCTTGTTCTTATTTGTTATACTTTGTTATAAGTTTTTTTCATACTTATATGTTCTTAATATGATGTCTAACTAACCTTTTCACATCTAAATGTGAAGATGAACTTACTGTAGTTTTGATATAAAGTAGTTAGGGAATGATTATACTTTTTCATGATTTGTTAGTTTAGGAACTTGTGCTTTTGCTTTATAGTTGTTTAGCCATCAATTATGAATGGTTTGATAATTGTTAAGTAATGAAAATTGCTTTCAAATAGATTTAAGTTCTTAAACACTAGCCTTATTTTTATGAAAGTAATGAATAATGGTTTGTTGGATTCATGCAATAATTTTATTGAACTTATTTAATTTGTTTCTTACCTTTTTTCTATGAAAATAGGTGAAAGATGATTCAAAAAGTTAAAGAAATTGGCGAAAGCAATTTGTAGAGGAATTAGTCAAGGCATTTTCTCTTAAAAATGTTCATTGGCAAAAGCGATGACATACATTTGGAAGGTCAAGACATACATTTGGAAGTTAATTTTTAATTATGACACAACAAGGGATTCTATTCTCTAGGATTCTCTCACTTAATTTTAAAGTAAACCTAATCTAACATGTTCTTTACTTTTATTTTTTTTCTTACAAACTACCACGTACATGGTTGGTTTTAAATTTAAAACTAATTTGTGTCACATATTTAGCACATTAAGAGACAATTTACATTCGGTTTTTGAGAAGTTTGTAGTAGTTTTCATAGGGAAAAAAATATTTTCTTGCACTTATTTGAGACCTAATGTACATGAGGTAAAAGAATAATTAAAAATTGTGTGAAGAGAACACTCTACAAAAACTTGTCCACAAAAACTGCAATATTTACTTCATACACTAAAATTTGGCAATAATTCACGCAAATTATTTCCGCTTAGCAATTGATTGCCATGGTTTTAAGTGATAATTATCACCAAATTCCTTACTCAACCAAATAAGTATAGTTCGTACAACCCTTAAAAAAAGAAAGTGTATTGCGGACAAACAATTTTCGATGTATGTGACTCTGTTTCAAGCTAGCCGGGTACAAACATACTGCCGTCTTTCTGTACTTTCTTTTGTATAATTCTTGAATCCTTAAAAAGAAATAATTAAGGTATATCCATGCCATGATATGCTTAATCACTTCTGTTCGAAGCTCTACTTAGATTTAAACCAACACGATTGGCCTAATTAGAGAAATACACATACCTCTATTAAATGGGGAATGACAAAGTATAAATTATGTGAAAAAATAGCATTTACGAATATCAACATGATCAAGTAGCTTTTGGTGTTTAAGTTTATAGTTTACTATATCCCTATTTATTCAGTATTCCAAAATTTCCCCATCAAAGCTAGTTGCACAACTAAATGTATAATTAGTCCTAGTTCTTTTTACTTGAAAAAGAAAAAGAAAAACCATCAATTCAATCTTGGCCAGTAGCCTCTCTCAGAATTGAATGGCAATTATGTGATTATACCCTAGAAGAATGTAGGATTGAATACAATTCTAGTATCCAATTCTGACAGGGGACAAACAGAAGCCAGATACACACGTACATTTGGCAGCTGAACTATTTACTGCATGAAGAAAACAGTAACAAGGAGAAAATGAATAAATGATTCGAGCAAGCTAAAACCCTTCTCTATTGCATTCAGACCGCTGAAATCTTGATTCAGTTGAGTGAATGGGCTTTTGTTTGAAGTTTTCTATTGAAAGAAAGGACTTTTCATACAAGGAATTTTGCAGCATTCGTCATTGGGTAGTACTGTTGAATGATCGGATTCTTACGAAAATCAACTGGGCTGGCCAAAAATTTTACAATACATCTGAATTCCACTCAATTTTGTTTTTTCAGAAACTTTCACTCAAGTTTGCTATTATTCTTTGTAAGATCAGTTCCCTCAATCTCCTGTTGTCCTATTATTCTGAAGTATTGCTATTTAGGAAACAAGCTTTCAATAAATTTTTTTGTCCTTTTTGTTCTTTCTATTTCTCTCTTTAAATTTCACCTGCAAACTTTTTTCACATCACATGTTCTTTAATTTCACATGCAAACCTTTTTCACATCCTGTCTTTTTCGGTTCCATGTACTGCAATCATCAGGGCAAAAATGATAAGGTCTATGTATGGACAGTGACAGTCTAATCCTCCTCCTCTCTTCTTAAGACCAAAAAAAAAAGATTTTAGTGCCATATGTTGAATTCATAGCCAAACCTCAATTATTGACTTTGAAATAGCCAAAATTGTTGAATTATTTGGCACAATTACAATCCCACATCGGTGGGTTTATGAATTGGAGAAGGTTTTGAGAGATATAAATAAACTCTCTACCTTCTCAATTCAATCACACCAAGCAAAAGCATCATCACTTGCTTTCTTCTCTCTCTTTGTAATATTTTTTCTAGTGAAATATTAAGTTGTCGGTAGTGTCCGAGGACGTAGGCAAATTAGCCAAATCTCGTTAAATTCTGCTGTTCTATTTTATTATCTATTTAGTAGCTATATTTGTTGGTATATTTGTAGTGAGTTATTGTGCAATTAACTGCATATAAAGGTAATTCTGTCTAGAAAATTAGTACTTAAGCAGGCCATTGTGTCTCACCAAATATTTCCTGAGAATTACCATTTTGCAATTTTAGATACAATAATTTACTCTTTATACCTTAATTTGATAGAGCTTCCGTAAAAATTGGTATCAGAGCTCGAAATTTCTTAGTATGCTCTGTGGTTGCAGCATAGTCTGATCTTCCACATCAGAAAAGATTTCTTGGGCTATTGTTACTTTACATTTAGGAGCTACTAAATAGAATTTATAGAGATGGCCGAAAGTAGATCTTCATCCACAATGCAAGCATCAGCAAGCTCGTCATCGTCTATTATGGCAAGAAATGCTATGATGAATACAAAATTAAATGGGGAGACATTTGATGGTACCGATCATTTTGGTATGTGGCAAAATGAGATTCTAGACGCGCTCTTTAATCAAGGTCTAGACATTGCCATCAAAGAAGAGAAACCAGAAGAGATTGAAGAGAAGAAATGGAGGACACTAGATCGTTTAGTGTGTGGTACAATTCGATCGTGTCTTTCAAGAGAACAGAAATATGTGTTCTCAAAAGAAACTTCTACAAATAAATTGTGGACTGGATTGGAGGAGAAGTTCTTGAAGAAAAATTGTCAGAACAGCCTCAATATGAAGAAGCGTTTATTCACTTCACTTATGTTCCCAGCACAACTCTAAGTGATCACATCACTAATTTCAATCAGTTAATCACTGATCTGATGAATTTAGATGTGACATTTGAAGATGAAAATTTGACTCTCATGTTGTTGGGATCTCTTCCTGAGGAGTTTGAGTATTTTGAAACAACTCTACTCTATGGAAAAACTGAGTTGTCCCTCAATGAAGTTAGCTCTGCCCTGTATAGCTACGAGCTCAGAAGAAAAGACAAGCAAAGTAGCAGAGATGGAGCAGCAGAAACTCTGGTAACTAGAGGACGCTCACAAAATCAGAGAAAGGGGACGAGAGGTAGATCCAAGTCGAGAGTTAGACTAAGCAAAGATGAGTGTGATTTTTGCAGAGAGAAAGGGCACTGGAAAAAGGACTGCCCAAAACTGAAGAGTAGACCAGACAAAGAAAAAGTTGTTGCAGATTCAAATGTAACTGAGCGCATTGATCAAGACTCAGACTTTTCATTAGCTGTCATGCCTACTGGTCATTCTAGTACATGGCTATTGGATTCAGATTGTAGTCATCATATGACGCCCAATAGGGAATGGTTCTTTGATTTCAAGGAACAAGAAGGTGGAGTCGTCTACACGGCAAATGAGACCACATTAGCAACAAATGGGGTTGGTTCAATTCGGCTGAGGAATCAGGATGGATTAATTAGGATTCTAACTGATGTCCGATATATGCCAGAATTGAAAAAGAACCTCATTTCTGTGGGAGTACTAGAATCAATGAGCTACAAGGTGTCGGCATATAATGGAGTGATGAAAATCATTTCAGGTGCATTGGTGCTGGTGAAAAAAATCCAAAAAGATAATAACTTGTATTACTATCAAGGTAATGCAGTTGTTGGAGTAGCGGCAATGGCTTCCAGTGATGATCGAGAATTGAAAATAACCAGATTATGGCATATGCGCTTAGGGCATGCCGGAAAAAAATTCTTGAATCTTCTGATGAATCAAGAACTATTGAAAGGAGCTAGTGTTTGCAAGTTAGATTTTTGCGAGCATTGTGTCAAAGGGAAGCAGACAAGGGTAAATTTTGGCACTGCAATTCACGATACCAAGGGTATTTTGGATTATGTGCACTCTGATGTGTGAGGACCATCCAAAACAACTTCTCTGGGAGGCAAAAATTATTTTGTTACCTTTATCGATAACTTCTCTCGAAGAGTATGGGTGTATACTATGAAGGCGAAAAGTGAAGCATTGGGAATTTTCATCAAGTGGAAAAAGATAGTGGAAACTCAAACAGAAAGAAAGATCAAACGCCTTCAAACAGACAACGGAGGTGAATACACTAGTGATCCGTTCATGAAGGTCTGTGAAAATGAAGGTATTGTTCGACACTTCACAGTCAGAGATACACCACAGCAGAACGGGGTGGCAGAGCGTATGAACCGGACATTGGTGGAGAAAGTTCGGTGTATGTTGTCCAATGTTAGGTTGGGCAGATAATTTTGGGCTGAGCCTTTAGCATATGCAAATCACCTCGTTAATCGCTTACCATCAACTGCTATTGGCGGCAAAACGCCATTAGAGAAATGGTCGGAAAAACCTGCTACATATTATGATTCATTACATGTGTTTGGTTCTACTGCATATTATCATGTTAAAGAATCAAAATTGGATCCAAGGGCGAAGAAGGTGCTCTTTATGGGGATCACGACGGGCATTAAAGGTTATCGCCTTTGGTGTCCCGAGACGAAGAAGATAGTTTTCATCAGGGATGTCATCTTTGATGAATCTACCATGTTAACAAAGGTAGATGTACATCAGAATGATGGTACTACCCAACATGTGGAGAGCACTCCTAAGCAGGTGGAGTTTGAAAGAAGCATTATCAGACCAGCAGTGAATATAGGAGCAGATGAAAGGACTCCTATGGTAGAAGAAGAATCAACTGAAGAAGATGTTCCAGTTGGAGAGTCTTCACAGCAACTTGAATCAATTGTATTGAGTAAGCCAAAGAAGAATATCAAAGTACCTGCTCGGTATGTTAATATGGTGGCTAATGCATCTGCAATTGCAATAGATGAAATTCCTACCACTTATCTTGAAGCTGTCCAAAGTTCAGAGAAAGGAAAATGGAAGAAGAAATGCAGTCCCTTTATAAGAATCAGACTTGGCAACTTGTCAATCTGTCAAAGGGAAAGAAGGCAATTGGGTGCAAGTGGATATATGCAAATAATGAAGGATTTCCTGACAAATCTGGTGTTCACTATAAAGCAAGATTGGTGGCTAAAGGCTACGCTCAGAAGAAGGGAATTGATTACAACGAAGTGTTTTCTCCAGTCGCGAAACATTCCTCCATCAGAATTTTATTGGCTTTGGTAGCATAATTGGATCTGAAACTTGTCCAATTAGATGTAAAAATTGCATTTTTACATGGTGACTTGGAAGAGAAAATCTACATGACTCAGGCAGAAGGATTCAAAGTTATTGGTAAAGAAAAGATGGTGTGCAAGTTTGACAAATCGTTGTATGGATTGAAGCAATTTTCAAGGCAATGGTACAAGCGATTTGACAAGTTTATGATGGGGTAGAGGTACACAAGAAGCAAATATGATGACTGTGTATATTTGTGCAAGTTACGAGATAGATCCTACATATATCTTCTTCTTTATGTTGATGATATGTTGATAGCTTCCAAGGATCAAGGTGAGATTGAAAAATTAAAATCTCATTTGAGTCGAGAGTTTGAAATGAAGGATCTCGACGAAGCTAAGAAAATTCTCGGCATGGAGATAAGCAGAGATAGAAGATTGGGGAGGCTTTATTTGACTCAGAAAGAGTATCTTACTAAAGTATTAAAGAGGTTTGGCATGAATGAAAAGACCAAACCTGTTAGTACTCCACTTGCTCCTCATTTCAAGCTCAGTGCATCGTTATCTCCAAAGAATGATGCAGAACGAGAATATATGGCAAATGTACCATATGCAAATGCGGTGGATAGCTTGATGTATGTTATGGTGTATACAAGTCCTGACATTTCACAAGCAGTTGGAGTTGTGAGCAGGTACATGTATGATTCTGGTAAGGAGCATTGGCAAGCTGTGAAATGGATTTTACGGTGCATTTTGAATATCGTAGATGTTGGATTAGTATTTGAGCGGGATAAGAAGATTGGTCAAGGCACAGTTGGATATTGTGATTCCGACTATGCAGATGATCAAGATACACGTTGATCAACGACTGGGTATGTGTTTACACTTACTAAGGCACCAGTCAGTTGGAGGTCTACCTTACAGTCAACGGTTGCTTTGTCTACTACAGAGGCGGAGTATATGGCAGTTACGGAGGCTGTTAAGGAAGCAATTTGGCTTCATGGGTTGCTTGATGAATTGGGAATCAGACAGAAGCCTTTCAAAGTTCATTGTGATAGTCAGAGTGCTATTCATTTAGCAAAGAACCAGGTTTATCATGCAAGGACGAAACATATCGACATACGGTATCATTTTGTGAGAAAGATTTTGGAAGATAGTATGATACTACTTCAAAAGATTCAGACCAAGGAGAATCCTGCTGATATGCTTACGAAGGTTGTGACAACTATCAAATTTCAACATTGTTTGAATTTGATAAATGTTGTGCACAACTTGAAGATTGACGCTTGACAACGCATTTGAAGACACCACCGAATTTTGAGGGAGAAGATTTGTATTTTTAGTGGGATTAGAAATTATGCCAAGATGGAGATTTGTTGAATTCATAGTCAAGCCTTAATTATTGACTTTGAAATAGCCAAAATTGTTGAATTATTTGGCACAATTACAATCCCACATCGGTGGGTTTATGAATTGGAGAAAGTTTTGAGAGCTATAAATAAGCTTTCTACCTTCTCAATTCAATCACA